GGAAAAAGTTCAGAATGGAAAAAGAAGTCGAGGAGAGAGAAAATTATTGAATTGGACGGAAAGTTTCAGCTTCTTTTAATAAAGTTTAAGCTACTGACAATGAGCGAGCTATTGATAATTACTTTTGTATTCTAATAACGAGATCGCGGATTTTTATGCAAGTTTGTATTTACTAAACAAATAGAATCTCGAGAGAAAATTGTTTTGCTTATTAAATGTTCCAATACTTTGGATATTTTTATGTATCTTTTCATACTAACCAAAGTGCATTCTGTGTAATTTTGTACTTTAAGATTTTCTACAAATGCGCTAATCATAACGTTATCATTTATTCAGGATATAAAGTAGTAAAATTATTTTAACGTTGCGTTCAAGATTATTTCACATTCAGCATAGCGAACGTTTTTTTTATTGCACAAAAAGGATTAAAAGATTCGTGTAACGTGAGATATTGTATCTAGATATCGCATGTATGGAAAATTGCAAGGTGGAAAAATGCACAAAAAGTAGATTCTATTTTTTTAATTACGTTCCTAAAAATATGAACTTGCTAAATAAAATCCACGGTACAATCAAATTGTAATTGTAAAGCGATATAAAATACGAAAAGAAACTTTCCATTCCGGTCAATAATTATTTCTCATCGATCTATCTCATCATTTTCTAAGCTAAGGTCGTGAAATTTATTCGCCCGAGTGTGATACTCTACTGGCCACTAAGCCGTCTAACGCAATTTACGATCCTGCATAAATTACGCGATTAGCTCGTGGTTTACCGTTGCTATCAATATTTATTAAATCGTTCTACTGCATTTTAAAGTGCAGGCACTTGTGCAACGTTACTCTTGTACGCACCACGGCTCATTTGAATAACAAAACTGCGAAGTTTCTTAATTAAGTGCGCCACACGCATTGTATCTTTCGTCGAACAGTTTTTCTTTCATCTTCCTTTCGCACACGTAAGGATACTTGTTACGTATAATTATCAGCACGGGGTTAATTTCGATTGAAGTAAGCAGAAGAGGTGCATTTACACGCGAATGCAGAAGTAAGCGATGAAACTTGTAAAGCAAACATCGAACAGTTGATTGTAGTTGAGCGATTAATTTCAACTTCTCGCATCTCGAACGAACTCTTTATGCTGCAAGCAGAATAAAACAATTATCTTGTGGACTCACGTAACAAGTTCCTTAAGGAAGAGAACAATAAAAATTTCTTTTTCTTTCAGAGATCTATGGTATTAGGTTGGCACGAAGGAAATGTTGTTATTTTTATTATTTAGAACCAAGAATCTTCCAATTGTACAATAATGGGACGTTGTTTCAAAATTTCATCTGACAAAACGGCAGTTCGTATTACGCGCCAACCTAATAGAATATTTCGTCGAACGTCTTGAATGTTACGTTCGCATTTTATTTCGGAGTGTCTCCTCTTAGAGAGGAAATTGTTGCATATGGAGATAGATCTATCCGCGGTAGGTTAATTACCGCTGGAAATTAATTATAACGGCGAACAATCTCAACCCTGGCTGCTCGTGATCCATCAGCGCGACTCCTGCGAGAATGAACATGTCGCCCGATCGCAAATTCGGTCGAAACTTTGCTTGAATCGTGATCGAATAAGTGACACGACCTGACCGTAGAACAGCGACGATATCCAGTGTCGAAACTAGTCGTCAAAGTTCACCATGCATGATGAACGAGCCCCCTGAAGTGTAGAATCCGGATTTACGATGTCCCTCAAGAGGCTGACAAAGAAAAGTGATGGCGAGATCTTCGTGTCGTCTCGTTAATTACCATTTAAAAAAAATGACAGCTCTGTACAAAAGATAATAATCTTCAACGACGCAACTCATTTTAGTCTTTCTCTCCGGTTAGATTGGGCTAGATCAGATTAGATCTTCGTATCGTCTCGTTCATTGTTATTAAAAAAATATTACTGATGGATGAAAATCTTTCGATCAGTTCGAACTCAACTAATTAGCACGTTTTAATCTTTCTCTCTGGTTTAGATTGAGTTAGATTAGATTAGATCTCCGTATCGTCTTAATTGTCATTATCAATTGTGTTATTAGAAGATACTGGCAGCGTAAATTGATGATAGAAATAGATGAAGAGCACATTTTCTTTTCGGTTAGGCTTTGGTTCAGACCTCCATATCGTTTCGTTGTTAAAAAAATACTGGCTGGCTAACGTCGATGATAAATGAAAATCTTTTCGATCAATGATACGATTTATTAGCACGTTTCGCTGTTTGATGAATTTTTGGCGTTGATCGAACCAAACGAATCTCGGACAATATGTCATGACTAGTTATAGTTTGCCGCATTTGATTACATCGCATGGAATTACGGAACGTTTATATCTCATTGTTCTCTATTCTCTAAGTTAGAATGCTGTTCGCACAGAATCGTTAGAGTAAACTTAAACCAAATCCAAAGATACACGGTTGATCGATGCGCGGTCAGCCGCAGAAAGGGACCACTGTCTCGTTTCAATAGATTCCCTCGCTTCATGGAACATCCGATTTTGCACGGCTGGCTCCCAGTTATCAAATCTGATGTCCAACAAATCTATCATTGCAATAAAACTTACTATTCGACCTTAATCCTCAGGTACCATACGTATCGGAATTTATATAACTATCACAGACTGCTAATCTGTTTATATATCTGTGCATTCGCAGGGAATTATACAGAATGCAATGTTCCTACAATAAATATTTATTTATTTTGATTTATAAATTCTATTCTCGGAAGTTTGCACCAAAGTTCTAGTTAGTGCGGGATGAACGTCAGATGCAATTGCCTCTGCTTTATACATTAATAATAAAGAATTCCACGTGTAATTCAACGTGAAATAAAGAAACGAGATAAATGAAAGTTATAAGGATACAGAGGAGAAATAATGATGAACAAAAAATTGGCAACGATTCATAGTACTAAGAGGTTGACGAGAATTCGCGTGACACGCTCGTCGTTGAAATTGTCATTAACGTTGCCGATCAACGTTTCTTTATATAAGTTTCGCTGCCTCGCGAGCGACAATTCACGAATATATCCGGCTGATATTAGAAAATATCAGCAGAGGTCTAATATGAATTTTCCAGAGGTCTCCGTGGGGATGAAGTTGATAAAGTTGAATAATGTCGGAGATTAGGGGTAGTAGAGGTCGGCGCAGTTTCAGCTTGTTATTCGACGAGTTTCCCTCCGAAGGGAGCCAAGTATTTCGCGATGCTGGGCGATTTAGAACGATTCACGTCGCTTCATGTTTCATTCACCGTCCGTTTCATTATGCATCGGCGGTGGTTAGCGGGGCCACGTGTTCCCGAATTAATTGCAATTTCCGTCGCCTCGTGACATACCCGTGGCCAACACTGTGACGGATGAAAGCGTCCCGGATGCCTGCGAGTCTCACCCCTATTAAGTTGCTCAATCGTCACCCATCTCTTGTATTAATTTGACACGTATTTATTTATTTATTTTTTTTTTTTTTTT